CAGCGGCATCAGCCTGGGTCTCGGTGGCGGCCACGACTCCCCGCTCACTCTGACCTCTCTGGGGGTCGACCACAGCTCCGGTCTGGGGATGAACCAAGGCCTCGGCCCGGGGATGGGGATGGGGATGGGCATGTCTTTAGGTATGAGCTGCGGACCAGTGATGATGAGCACCAAAGCAGCCGGAGGCAGGAGAGGAGTCAGTGGACGACCCATCAAGCCCCCCAAGAAGGATCTACCAGACTCCATGCTGCCCCCGCCGGTGCGCCGCAGTAAGCTCAGCCCCCAGCTGCGCTACTGCAACGGCGTCCTGAAGGAGCTGCTGTCGAAGAAGCACGCGGCGTACGCCTGGCCGTTCTACAAGCCCGTCGATGCCTCAACGCTCGGTCTCCACGACTACCATGACATCATTAAGCAGCCAATGGACCTCAGCACCATCAAGGTACAAGGAGCAGGGCGTCGTCTTCTTCTTCTTCTTTAACACTACAGAACAGGGAAGATACATTTGTTTTGTTTTTTAATAAAATCTGTTTTACTCTTTTTGTGTTTAGAGGAAGATGGACGGCAGAGAGTATCGGGACTCGCAGCAGTTCTCTGCTGATGTTAGACTGATGTTCTCCAACTGCTACAAGTACAACCCTCCTGATCACGATGTGGTGGCGATGGCCAGAAAACTGCAGGTGATTTATTAATTCCACTGATTCGATCTGTAATTAAAATCATCAGTGATATTTGTTTTTAATCAAATTCACTCACATGCTGTTTGTGTCTGTTTGTTTTAGGATGTGTTCGAGTTCTGCTTTGCTAAGATGCCAGACGAGCCTCCAGCTCCCCCGAGCTCCTCGTCTTCCTCCTCCTCCTCATCGTCGTCGTCTGAGAGCGAGCTCAGCAGTGAAAGTGAGGAGAGCGAGAGCAGCCCCAGCTCTGACTCCGAGGAGGAGAGGGCCAACCGACTGGCAGAGCTGCAGGAGCAGGTTTGTACCGACTTCATGGAGACGTATTTTCTGTTTCATCTCCTCCGTGTTTCACCGACTCACCTGCTTTTGTTTCTCCCTTCAGCTAAAAGCCGTACACGAGCAGCTCACTGCACTCTCCCAGGGCCCCATTGTCAAACCTAAGAAAAAGAAAGAGAAGAAGGACAAGAAGAAGAAGAAAAAAGTAGAAAAAGAGAAGCACCGGAGGATAGAAGAAGAGCTGCCGCCTATTAAACCGGCCAAAGCCCCGAAGATCACCAAGACTCCAAAACCGAAGGCCAACCGAGCTGCAGCGTGTCCTGTAGTGCCGATAAAGAAAGCACCGAGCAAGAAGAACAACAAGAGCAAGTGAGTGCTGACACCTGATGGACAATGTTGGAAAGGCAGGAAGTCAGACTTTATGTTTAATATGTATTAAAATAAGCATCAATTAGAGAAATAAAGTCTTTTGTTTAGTCTCTTTGTGGGTTAGAAAAGATCCTCAGTCATCTTTTAACACTCTCTCTCTGTCTCTCTGTCTCTCTCTCTCTCT